CCTCTGGGCTGCAGGCACAGCTGAGGTCCCTGTGCTTCCTCAGCAACATTCCCAGAGGACCATACCCTGTGTGTTTCCCTGGATCCCACCAGCACATGGTGCAGCAGAGTCTTGGTGGCCACAGTTGGGAACTTGGTGAATTGGAAGCAAAACTGAAGGGTTTGTCCACTAAAAAGTGATTTATAAACCAAAAAAGAGTGGTATTCTACATGAGGAATTTGGGATTGGTGGTGGTCCCAATCCATAACCTTTCTATTCATTTTCTTTGGATGCTGCAACCTCCTGGCTCGAGGGAGCTGTTCCTTTACATTTCCATTTAATTTTCTGTATTTCATTAGTTCTCTGTGGAAATCTGCTTTTAGTAAAAAGTCCCCTGTGGATATTGATGATGTCCCAGGTTCCTGGGATTTACAGGTGTGTGTGTTCTGGCTGGCAGAAGCTGCACCAATCTCCCAGGAATCTCAGTCTGGGTTTGTTTTTTCTCCCAATTCTCTGTTTGGGGGTGCAGTGCAGCCCTGCCCTGTGGGTCTCCTAAAAGAGCTTTGGGGGTTAAAAAGGTTCTTTTCTATTCTGCAGTTTTTCTCTAGAACTCGATTAAAAAGAATAATGGGTTGATGTGATCTTAATTGGTTCATTTACATTGGTTAATTAAAGCAAATCATTGAGAAGCTGCTTGAGCACCCCTTGGTTGGAGCTGGCAATTCTTCTTTATTGTCTCTTTGTTCTTTTAATTTATTTTAATTATTTCTTAAGCAGTTACTGCAATTAAGATACAAAGTGAGGAGAACAGCACTCCTACCCTGCTAGATTGGGAAATTCAAGTGCAGTTCCTTGGAGAGATTGGCGGGATGGGGAGCTGAGCCTCAGGCTGGGTTTTGGCAGTGGGAATTGGGTGAGGAGGGGAGAGGGGAGATTCCCCCAAAACTGATTAAAGCCAGTTCTGCTGGGTTTGGGTGCCCCCACCCCAAAAAAGGATCCTGGTTAAAGGAGACTCAAGGAAGCAGCAGGATGTGCTGGGGGGGGCTGTGCTGGGACCCCCCCAAATTACAGCCAGGAAAGCTGGGCACTGCCGGACCCTTGGTACACTGCCTGATCCAGAGAGATTTGCCATTATGTTCTCTTGTGCTCAGAACCTGGCATTTCATTGGAGTCTTACAGGCTGCAAATCCCATGTGAACAGCAGGAATCACAGCTGATCACACAGAACCTGGTCCAGTAGGGTGAGTGAGCTGTTCCACAGATTTATTTTTCCCCAATTCATTTTAATTTAAAGCAGAACACTGCCTTTCCCGACCCCATATCGTTTATTTTTGGGGTTTCTCTATGGGAATTATCTGCCTACACTGAATAAAAAGTTCCAAAAAGATTCCTCTGGTGTTGTGGGTACCAGGCTGGGGGTCAGGGAGGGCCTCCTCCTCACGAGGGAGGCCAGGGGGGAGTAGGGAGGGCCCACACCCACCAGGTCTGTCCCAGCCACCCCCAATCCCTTCCCTTCCAGCTTGGGGACATCCTCCATCAGCAGTGTTACAGCCAAGGGAATTTCCCTCACAGAAATTAAATCCCAAGCAATGCCCTCGGAGATGCCCTAAAATAACAGGTTACAGTCAGACAAATTTGTTTGGATTACGTTTGGGAATTTTCAGGGAGCCAGCTGGAACTGCAGAACCAATAGAAAGCTTTCACAGGTGGGCTGCACTGCAGGTGCCTTGAAGGCAGGGATCTGCATCGCTTTCCTCAGGGAAAAGGACTTCCAGAGGCCACTCCCGAGACTCTGGAATGAACTCAGCTTCTGCAGGGAGAGATGTTCTCCTGTGGGCACAGGGGCTGCCTCAGCACGGGCCGGGAGCGCGTCTGGCCACCACCTCCTGCTTTAAATCATCAACTGGAGCCCGTGCTCAGGGGGGTGGAATCTGCTGAATTCCAGGAAACTCTGTCAGGTGCCCCCCAGAGACATTGGGCTGGGGGATGAGGATTAGAAATAGCAAATTCTATGGAATATAAACCTGTCCCTGTCTCCATTCCACTGAGCTTCCTTGGAATTTCTGCTGGTTCCTGGCCCAGCTGGTGTTAAACAGGCAGCTCTGCATGGGAATATCCATGCTGCACGAGGCACTGTAAGGTTATTCCAGCAAGAGTTCAGCAGGGAATTCAGGGCTATAGCTGTAATTCATCTTAACTAGCAAAGCTGAACCCCAAATCTGGGCACTACACAGA